CACAATACATCATGACAACTCCTGGTTAAATAAAGGTAATTAAAAAAGTGTGGCCGGGGCGCACGTGGCTTATCAGTTAGGTCGCACCCTAAAAAAAAAAGCTAGTCCTCCAAGCAGGCAGCTCGGGTTCCCGCATCTCATTTCCCTCTCTCTCCCGATTTCCTACTCTCTCCCGTCCTCTCAAATAAGGTAAAAAAGCCCCAAAATAATTATATAAAAAAAAATAAAAAATAAAAAAGAGTGTAGCCAGTGGTTATTCAGGTTAGCTTAAAACAATCCGAGTCTTGTTTTTCTGTTTAGTTGTCATTTTTTTGAAGGCTGATCTGTATGGTCGTTCTCCAATCAGACTTCTGTATGACAGCTCGTTGAAACTGTTGAGGAAAATACTTTAATACAAATTGAACACAGATGGCTCCGATCACCTGGCCTAAAGATTCACTGCTTATTTGTAAAATCTGTAAATTGAGGGTCAATAGCAATAAAAAAATAAAAATAAAAAATGTAAAAACCTAATTGGATCAAACCACCAAACCTTGTGGAAACCCTCCAGCTTGCTTTTCCACACTAAGGAGGGGACAAACTCAACACAAACATAGTGACACTACACATCGCAGAAGAAAATAAACACTGGCATTAGAGTTGAGAGAACATCACAGAAACAGCTAACCTCACAGCTGAAGGTGATTCTGCTCTCGGAGAACAAAATGCAGACACAGTAAACAACTCGACAGCTTTTCACAGCAGGCAAGTTGTGGCAGGAAAACCTGAGAAGCAGAGGGTGTCAAACAACAATGGTTGCTTCACTCTGCAGGTCAGAGTCCTAATCGAGGATGTTGACTCCGTTAGCAGGAACTTTCAGCTTTTCTTTGAACTCAGACAAAAAGAGCTTCAGCTCTGTGCCTGCAGATAAATCAAAGTGTCACTTCTACATAACTCTTCTTAATGTCTTTAAAGTTCAGAGGCTGCAGACCTGCAGACACATGTTGGAAACTCAGACTCTGAATTAGATTCTTTGTATTTAATGACAAAAAAAACACTGAGGACATTAAAACAGCTGAAGCGTTCACAGCAACCCTGAGCTGAAGCACAAATCTAATCTGAACATTAAAGAGTCAAACATGAGATTCAACAAACTCCACTGAATCTCTAAAGAGGACATTTATCTTGAAATAGAATTTAAACATCTTCCAGTATGTCACATGCATGGTTGTGTTGTGTGTGAAACAAAATGAATTTACCTTGTTGAGACTCAGAGCAGCACACAAAGTGATTACAAGTGTTCAGCACACACACACACACACACACCTGAGTTTAAGTAGCTGCTGATCAGACAAGTGTGTGTGAGCTCATTGTGAAGCTGGACTTCATGTCACTGTGCATCACAACTCACACCAGCAGAGGGCGCCAAACTACAGTCAGACAACGAGAGCATCAAGAGCTGAATGTTCAGGAGGATCAATCTCAACCTGAAATTAAACTTTGAATCTTTCCATGTTTCTTTTTTTAATGAATAAATACAAATTGAATGATAAATACAATTGTTATTACACATGTCTCAGATTTTGGTTGTGTTTGAAGTTATTAGTTGTGCAGAGTTTTAGAGAGACCCGTCCCTCAGGGATGCAGCATCTATCCTAGATTGTTGAACTCGACCTGAGTGCTCTCACCCAAACGGCCATAACATGGACGTAGTGTCAGTGAGTTGAAGCCTGATGGGGTCACCATATTGGATGTGCTGTTTTAAATCAACATTAGGTCAGCTGGGCAAAAGCTGGAGCTGAGGCGGGCCTCTCACGTTCTGACAAACAACTACAACACACCCGCCTGTCAATCAGGTCAGCCACGCCCCTTATTAGAAAATGAGAGAGTCAGACCTCTTTTGTTTTTCTTAACCAGGCTGTAAACATGTTAATTTCTGCTGTTAAAGTTTGCTTTTTTTGAATGGGTGTGACTATGACTTCCAGAACTTTTACAGGCAGTCTCAAGTGGACTCTGGAGGGGCGGCTGCACTGGCTTCAGTTTTCAACACCCGAGGCTGCTGTTCGAGGAATCGAGGCGGAGCATTGACAGTTGTTAATAAAGTTTCCTATGAAAACTCCCACAGATGGCGGTTGACGTCAGATGTTTATGTGTACAGTTGTCTCATACAAACGCCTTCAAAAACACTCTCACCCATTCACACACACACACACACACACACACACACACACACACACACACACACACACAGCATCACCAACAAACACCAGATAACTAGCAGCTGAATCATACATATTCTCTGTCAGCTAGAGGTCTGCAGGTATTTCCTGCTGTTTCTTTTGTTCATATCTTTGATGATAGTTTTAAAAACAGGCCTGCCTGCTGTTGCCATGGTGATTTCAGATGCTTCCTGCCAGTTTGCACGGGCATAATCAAAAAGTTGAGGAATCACCTTGTGCCTGCTATCGTACGACCAAAATACCAAAGCAGTTGTAAATCACTTCCTGCACACTGTTTATTTTAATTAATAAAAAAACATTCTAAGTGTGTCAGAGGTTATGTTGACTTTGCAGAGTGCATGAATATGTGATGGAACAATTGAGATACAGATTAGAGTAAATAACCTGATAAAAGTTTCACCACATTCAACTGTTTGAAGAGGCAATCATTTTTAAGGTTAAAGGAGCTGTAAAAGAATATTACCCAACTTAAAGCAAAAACCTTTCAAGCAAGATATTTTTCAATGTGGGAATTAGATAATTAGAGTTTTGATGAAGTTGAGAGGTACCTGTGTACCTGTGAGTTGAGAGGTCCCTCTTATTGCTAGTCTAAGACAAGTCTCAGCTGGTCACTAGTCTGAGCCGGGTGTCAGGTAAAGTCTGATGTTTGTGGGAAGTTATTGAAGCCCAAAGATCTGACGAATAGTGACAGCACTATAGAAGCTGAATGCTCGCCATGGTGTCATCAGTGGCGTGTCGGCAGCTAGCTCACCAGATGTGGAAGGTTACACCTGATGGGAGGAAACAACTTTTAGCTTGTAGTGTTAATGCGCTCAAAATACAACGGAAAAATAGAGTGCACAAGTCCCAAATCTTTAAGCCTGAGTCGAGTCCCAAGTCTCACATTTTTGTGCGACCTACGTGAGTCTGGAATCCAAGTCTGAAACTCAAGTCCCCATCTCTGGATCTTGACCGTCTTGTAAAGGTCACAAAACTCAGTCCCAGATGTTTTGATCATTTTTCTTCAAAAGATTACGAGGAGTTTTCGTCTGTCAACCAAAATTCAGATATGTTTCCCTTCAAACTGCAGTTTTGTATCCTAAACATCTTAAAGGTCTTTCACTTTTCAATGCTATGTGTCCTGCTGCTGATCATCTGTGATAGATCTCTGAGACACGAGGCGTCTCTGAGATCCTGAGAGCTTCTGAGTTGAGAGTATGATCAGGCAATGACACTGATGTGTGGTCCTATGGTTTTAATTTGAGTTTTGGTATCTAGTAACATTTGAAATTATTTTTCTCTTATCTTCTCATAAGCCTTATTTGTTGTGCATCTGGATAACCATTCGATCCTCACTGTGCACTTCTGTCCTGTGTCTCCCACACAGCCGGAGCACAGCAACGTGTGTTTCTGGTAAATCCCTCCCAGCCTCAGAGAGCTTCCTTGTGGACCAGAGAGAGAAGCGAGACTCCATCAGGTCAGTTTGAACACAAGACCTCCTCTGAGTACGTTCTGACTCTGCTTCAGAATCATCATTTCTTCCATGATGATGATGATGGTGATGATGATGTTTGTGCAGGTGGCCCCTCAGATCAAAGGCAGGATGATGGAGAAGGGCTCTGTTCTGATTGGCTATCAGCCGCTGGAGGACAAAGTGAATTTCTTCAGGTGTGTGTTCTCCAACCCTGCCACACAGCCGGAGGATGTCGACTTGCTGCTGGACGAGATCGCCTGGCTGGGTCATGACCTTTGACCTCTGAGCTCTGACAGGACTTAGTGGTCTCAGCTCTGTTCAGGTTCATATAAAGGGAACAGGAGACATTGTTTACCTGCAGCATTAGTGTACAGTCTGGGTACATGGTGAAATGGACTTCCAGCTTAACTTTGTCATTAAATCAAAGCTGTTCCATATAGTTCAAGTTTTTCTAACAAACAAATCTGTTCAAACTTCTTCCTGTTTACACTGTGAGTCACTGCTGTCGGCGGCCAATCTGCTGTTTACTTATCTTAACCCTTTTAGTTTTGATTCGCTCATCCATTTTTTGTGACTTTTTTATCAAGTTGTTGCTAAAACCTTCCCATGATTGCTCTCTTTTTCTCTTTTATGAATATATCTCTGTGTAGTGGGATCCTGGGGGACCACAGTCAGTCTCGTTTCATGTTTTTAATGTTAATAGTTAAACGTTTACACACTACTAACTGGGGCTAGGGGGCACTCTGTCAGTCATAGGGGTAGAAGAAAACATAGAAACATAGGGGTGTCAATATTGTCAATATTGGTGCAGACTCGCTGGTAAAGGGTTTTATAACCCACTACCACTCCTCGCTAGTTGGTTTGGGACGGACTTTGGCGAACCTTCCGCAAAGACGCGCAAATTGAGGGGTAGTGGGTAGAGAGGGTGTTTGAAAAAGACCCTCAGTGATGTGAAAGGACACTAGTGCATCTTTGAATGTCTCATTTCACTTTAACAAACTCTCAGACAGCTCAGCTGATGAGTCCGAAGTAATATCCACCTTATGACATCATACAAACCTTCAAAATAAAAGCCTAACAAGTTTTAAACATTCAAATAAAAATGTGATATAAATGGTGATTAACTATTTTAATTTAACGATTAATTGCTAATTATTCAAAATTGTAAAGGTTTGTTAGCCCTTTTGAAAACATCAACATGTTTTAAATATCTTTAAGAGGGGGGTCTGTCTGCCCTTCTTACATATTATAATTATTTATAATTCTTTAAACTCTCTAAGCTGAACACTGACACCTGGTGGTGGTTTGAACACATGACAGCACACAGGTGAGTTCCATCATCACTTTATTATCTGCAGCTTTTATAGAAAAGTTTTTCATCGTTGATGTTTCATCAGAGTCCTCGGCTTGCCGTGCTGCTGGACGCCGCAGACGCTCCACTCATCGGCATCTTCTTCAGAGTCCGGTTCAGCTGAGGGACGACAAGACCACAAACAAGCTGAGGCCTACGTTCACACATGAACCACAGATTCAGCCCATTTTAAATTGTAAACGGGGTCTCCTCAAAAGACTTCAGGGGGGAAAGATTTAAGATTGTAATGATGGTTGAATGATGGTTGAAATAAAGAAGCAGAGAACATTTAACCCTTCACACACTGACACTTTAAACTCTAAGTTATAAATCATAAGGTGTCTGAGACTTCTGTTGTTGTTGCCGTGGTAACAGCCCTCAGTAAAAGTTAAAAATAAGTCAAAGTGCTCACCTCTTCAAATTTATGGATCTGTCGGATGAAAAAGTCTCCGTAACGCCGAGCGACCTTCGTGTCAGCGATGTGGATCATATCCTGACGGAGAGTGAAAGAAAAACATGGATTGAAGAAACAGCTGCTCACATCTAGACGCTCCTCAATGTGTGTGTGTGTGTGTGTGTGTGTGTGTGTAAACACCTTGTCGATGTAGAAGTCGACCTCGGACGCAGACTGAAACTCTCCGTCCAGAGCAGAGATCCCGCTGGTCCACACCAGGTTCTTCATCTTATGTTTGAAGACGAGCAGCTGGATCCTGAACTCCTGCTCCGTCATGTCCAGGAAGCCAGCTGCTCACATCTAGACGCTCCTCAATGTGTGTGTGTGTGTGTGTGTGTGTGTGTAAACACCTTGTCGATGTAGAAGTCGACCTCGGACGCAGACTGAAACTCTCCGTCCAGAGCAGAGATCCCGCTGGTCCACACCAGGTTCTTCATCTTATGTTTGAAGACGAGCAGCTGGATCCTGAACTCCTGCTCCGTCATGTCCAGGAAGCCCGCCAACTTGGCCACAGGCATGGTGGTGTACAGCTTCAGGAAGCTACACACACACACACACACACACACACACACACACACACACACACACACACACACACACACACACACCACACACACACACACACACACACACACACACACACACACCACACACACACACACACACACACACCACACACCACACACACACACACACACACACACACACACACACACACACACACACACCACACACAACACACACACACACACACACACACACACACACACACACACACACACACACACACACACACACACACACACACACACACACACACACACACACACACACACACACACACACACACACACACACACACACACACACTGTTTTTCCTCAGATAACACGCAGACAGAATCCCGACAGAGGATTTCTAAAAGGTCAGAATGGTTGTGACTCAGTCTGAACACCAGGGGGCGCTCTCATCAACAGGAGCACAAACACCCAGAGAAGAAGACTGTTTGTGCAGCAGAGCGCCCTCTGGTGGCCTATGAGCATACCTGCGGATGGTGGAGAGCTGCGCCTGCTGCTGCACCTCCTCGGCGAACACCTTGAGCTGCTGCTGGAACGGCTCCTTGTGGTAGTTGGGATGAACGTTGTCGTAGTTTGGAACGACGGGGGACAGGAACTTTGGACAGGCGAAGCTGAACTGCTCCTCAAACACCTGCAAGTCTCTGAGGAGGGAAAACACACACACCTTCAGCGCCAACGTCACTAAATCACCATGACGATCAAAGTGTCTTGTTGCCACATCATCACCGAGACGACAAGCGATCAGTGAGTGTAAATATTTATCCCAACAGTCATGTTAAAACTATACTAAACCACGTATGATGTAGGCTAGCTGCGGCTACTTGTCCCTGCTCCTCTGCTGGGAACGCACGTTCAACCTTTCTCCGTTCACTTCCAACGTGTCTGCTTTTATCAACAATCAATAACTTAACATAACATCAGCGTGTGAGCTTCTCCACACAGACTGTCAAACAGCGCTGCGTTATAGCCAGAAAATATATTTTTATTATTTCTCAATTTCCTGATCTGATCAAATTATCCAAATTATCTGTGACTTAAATCTGTGATTATTTGGCATAATACCTTAACTCAAATAAATGTACTTAAACAAATGTGTATGTAAAACTAAAACACAATTTAAAGCAAAAGAGCAGCCATTATAGGGAGAGGGTGAAATGCACTGAGGATGTGACCTCCCCTCTCCCAATCTCATTACACCCCTCTCCCTCAAATTCCCCTCCTCCCTGTTTCACTGTTACAAAAAAGAAATTCTTTACCAGATTTAATTGGGGTTTCAGTAACTTAGGCATAATGATAATATTCTTTATAAAATGGTCAGAAATAACAGGAAATGCACAGATTCTGTCAAATAAGGTAATACAGACTCACAGACTATACTGTAATACGCGGGTCGAACGTTTACTACAGCGCGTATAGTCACCCCCCAAAGGCCCATTCTGAGTCAGAAAAAACCCTGTAATCATGCCTGAATGTTTTCTATACTTTCTTTATATTGTGCCATTGGAGTGTATTTGTTTTCAGTCCGCTCTCTGTTCGCTAACACTCACGTGTAGTAAGGGACCGTCCCTCAATTCCTCTGCTTGTTCATATGTGTGCTGCATAGAGGCAGTAATTTGTTGACGCTCCCTCAAGTTAGGAGGATTCATTTTTACATTTATATCCTTTCAAGCATCGTTTGTCTGTTTATTTGATACAATATTACAGTGTTTCTATATCATGTTTATTATTTATGCATATATTTAATACTTGTTTATTCTTTTTCTGTCATTGTAGAAACCACACACACTTCATTTCATGTCCCAAAAAACATATATGTTTTTCAATAAATGAGTGGCATCTCAAAGAGAGAGTGTGTCAGACTGATTTCACATGTTCTTACCGGACAACCTGTGGCGTCTGCATTTCCTATAACCACACTAAGGTTCAAACATCACTGAGGACTCAAGAGTGGTATCCAGAAACCATTGCCTCTTTTATAGTGTGTAACAGTGTGTGTTACAGTGTGTGTGTGTGTGTGTTACTGTGTGTGTGTAACAGTGTGTGTTACAGTGTGTGTGTGTGTGTGTTACTGTGTGTGTGTTACAGTGTGTGTGTAGCAGTGAGTGTGTAACAGTGTGTGTGTGTGTCACTGTGTGTGTGTTAGAGTGTGTATTACAGTGTGTGTGTGTGTGTGTGTCACAGTGTGTGTGTGTCACAGTGTGTGTGTGTGTGTGTGTGTGTGTCTTACCCTTTCTGCATGCGCAGCATCTTGTCTCCATATTTCTCTCGAAGCTGAGTGTGGATGCTCTCATCAATTCTCATTGGGTACATGGTGAGAGCGATGGCGAGCAGGCCGTGCATCTGCTCGTTCTGTTTGTTGATCTGTACAGTCAGAGATGACATCACCATTATAGACAACATCATGACTACAGATGATGACATGATCACAGAGGATGGAGGTGCAGAGGATGGAGGTGCAGAGGATGGAGGTGCAGAGGATGAGGTGCAGAGGATGAGGGGCAGAGGATGGAGGTACAGAGGATGGAGGTACAGAGGATGGAGGAACAGAGGATGGAGGTAAAGAGGATGGAGGAACAGAGGATGGAGGTACAGAGGATGGAGGTACAGAGGATGGAGGTACAGAGGATGGAGGTACAGAGGATGGAGGTACAGAGGATGGAGGAACAGAGGATGGAGGTACAGAGGATGGAGGAACAGAGGATGGAGGTACAGAGGATGGAGGTACAGAGGATGGAGGTACAGAGGATGGAGGTACAGAGGATGGAGGAACAGAGGATGGAGGAACAGAGGATGGAGGAACAGAGGATGGAGGTACAGAGGATGGAGGTACAGAGGATGGAGGTACAGAGGATGGAGGGGCAGAGGATGGAGGGGCAGAGGATGAGGGGCAGAGGGGCTCATCAAAGGACTGATCCCTGCTGTTCTAGCTGCCCTGAACAAAAGGCTGTGCTGATTGTTTAACATTGTTTATTTCACACTGTGTTTAGAGTATGTTCTGCTCTTTTGTATGGAAGCGACTAGTGATCAGAATTCAAATGATAAAGCTAAAAATGAAAATCCATTAACAGAAATGCTTTTTATTTGTGTATTATTTGACTCAAAAATAAAATTGTGATTAATTTATCTAATTTGCATTTTAGTTTTCAACTTCAAAAATGCACATTCTTTGACTAAATTAAAATGAAGAAAATTACATTTGCTTTTCCATTTTCAAAAAATGCTCCGCTAAATTTGTATCATAATTCTAATGAAAAAGCAGTGGACGGCGCAGGAAAGTGACGTCAGACTCCAGCTACCAGGCAGGCTAACGTAATATTTACAGTCTATGAGGCGAGTGGGCAGAACGCGCACTACGATGGGTGGCAGGGTGCATATTTAACGCACAGGGGAGACTTATTGGTCTGCTCCAGGGCCAAAGTGGTATTCCTTAACTTCGGGGCTAACCCCCGTCACTTCACTGGGGTGCAGCAAGGCGTAAACAGACATGGAGAGTCCGGCTTGTTATTTTGGGGTATCGGACCATTTATTGCGCTCATAGAGCTTGAACTTGCATACACTTAACATCCTGACTGTCTGATTTCTCTCGCTTATTCTGCTCCGCTCTCAATAACGTGCCTCTCGCACACACAAAGTCCCCTCATTCTCTCTCTCTCCTCACTCGATTCACAGACAGACATACGCTACTCGTATAACGCCTGATCTTGATCCAATTTTGGAGTTTTAGTTGATTATTCTTTTAACAACTACAAAAAAACCTGAATGGGAGAGAGCGCTCATACAGACAGTCAAGAGGTACAGTGTGTGACAAAGAGGAGGAGCGATATTGAAACTTTGTGTACAGAGCTGGAGAGATATGAAACAGAAAATTAAATCGATAATCTGTTTTAATGTAAATTAGTTTAGCAGAGAAGAGAGTGATCTATAATGTATCTATAAACAGGTCATAGGACACGTCAGTGTGAATTTTCAGTGTGACCTCTGTTAGCTGTTGAAGTTTTAAATGTTTAAATCCTGTTTGAGCTGCTGTTAAAACTAAACTTACTAATTATTAGTCCTGAGGATTTTTAAATTAATTACTAATATAGCCTGTGAATTTGACGTTATCATTTAGAATGACTCAAGTGAAAACCGTCAACATGTCACTCAGAGACACCGCGATTCTACATAGTTCTCTTCAGTTGATTTTGAGCGATTATTGTGAATGTTCTGCTGTGCCCGATGCTCTGTACATTATAAAGTATCCGTGACTTCTTGTCTCCTCCTGCCCCGCCACAGCACTCTCTCTGTGTGCCGGGACCTCAGGGTTTACAATCTCTATCTGGGTAAGCCAGTCACAGGCAAAATATGGCACCAAGTACGGCAAGCATCAGGTGAGACAATATATTAAAAAGAGGAAAATAGAAAAGGGGAAATTTATGCCTCATAGACTGTATATATTATGTTCGCCTGCCTGGGAGCAGAAGTCTGACGTCACTTTCCTGCGCCATCCACGTTACCATTTCATTTTCGAGTTGGTTTGAATTATGATAACTTTTTAGCACGGCAAGTTTGAAAACGAAAAGCCAAAGACCTTTTCCTCTTCATTTGAATTATGTCATACAATATGCATACATAGAGAGCAAAAGTATAATGCAAATTGGATGACTGAACATTCATTTTAAATATAGGTCAAATAATGCACCTATATTCTGAAAGTTCAAACGCGTTTCTGTTCATGCATTTTCATTTTTAAATTAGCTTTATCATTTGAATTTTGATCACTAGTCGCTTCCATACTTTTGTTGTATCATGTGTGAAAATTAATCTCCTCATTAGTGGTTATTAAAGGGTTAAAGCCTGTTAATTAACAGCTAGAGTGCTTTCACTGAGACAGAATAAAGTTCCCCCAGGCTGATTGTTTGACAGGATGATTAATATGCACGGTGTGTGTGGTTGGGTCAAACAGCGACTCACCATTTCGTATTTGTATGTGGACCTCTGGAACATGTTCCTAGTCCTCTGGATGTAAAGCAGGATGTTGGCGAACACTCGGATGGCGTCCTGGTAGCGTCATCATCAGGTAGGCGAAGCCCACGTAGTAATAAGTGGTGATCTGACACTCAGGCACACGGGAATACATGCTCTGACAGACAGGGGGCAGCAGAGAGGTACGTGTAAATCTGGTGATGTCAACATTCATGGCGCGCGTGTGTGTCTGTGAGTGTGAGCGTGCGTGTGTGCGTGCGTGTCTCTGTGTGAGTATGTGTGTGTGAGTGTGTGCGTGCGTGCAGTGTGTGTGAGTGTGCGCGTGTGTTTACCTTCTTTTAAGCTCGATGTTCTCCAACACTTTGATGGCCTGGTAATAATCCCCAAGCAGAGAGTGCAGCCCAGCAGACCCACCAAGCTGAAGTACCCCAACATCTTATAGAGAGAGTGGCGCCGTACTCCCCGCCACACTCTCTGGGTCTCCTGCAGAAACACGACCATGACATGACATCAAACAGCGACGGCGTGAAGAACAAACACACTCGACACACTGATCCGGGTTTTCTCTCACTGAATCTCTTTGACCAGATATGTCTTTGACTGGATTATTCCTCTGATCACTGAACATTTCAAATCATAACAGATCTGCAGTCAGATTCAGCTCCGCCTACAGAGCAAGATACGATGCCAGCGACAGATTTTTCTAGAATGGTATGGTATCTATTAACCCTTTCTTACCCCGCTGGTGTAGACCTCCAGCTGCCGGTTGATGTTGCTCTTGTCCACCAACGAGTGCAACACGTTGAGGACACTGTGGACGTTCCAGATCTTCGGGTTGTTCCTCAGAAACTCGATCTCCTCCTCCGACTTCTTGGCGGTTTTACAGCGATACTGACTGAATGACTGGAACTGCAACGGGGGGGGGGGGGACATTCACAGAGGACATTGATATTTGCAGCTTTGATTTGGTATTAAAACAAACCGTGTTTCCACAGAGCCTCAGTCAGGAAGTGGGAAGTTGTGTTTCTGTATGGTAGAAACTCATCAATGATGTCCCATAGCCATTGGTTCGGAAGCTCAAGGGCGGGCCATCAGCATCTGTTTACAGTTACATGTTTACTCTTACATGTTTACAGTTATCAGTGATATTAGATACAAAGAATATGAAGATGAAGGTGGTCACTCACTGAGATGTAGTTAAACAGGTTACAGTAGTTATAGTACGACTCGAACCTCTGATCCAAGGTGGGTCCACCCTGATGACAGAGAGTGGGGGGAGAGGAGATGTTCATATCATGTTTTCACATCTGCACTCCTGTACATTCAGGAGGATGATCCTGACCTGGTTGTTCACAGACTCTCCCTGTCAGACTGGAGGGGGGGGGGGGGGGGGCACGCTATAATGTTCTTTGTATCATGCTACGAATAAACGTCACCACCCCCTCCCAATCACTCCAGGTGAATTCCTCCTGATTATATCCTGCTGCGTTCTCACATCAGCTCACTCGACTTTCTGCAAATAAATACGAGGAGGCTGGAGGAGAAACTCTGAGTGAAGAGAAGAAACATTCAGATGGTTGTGTTCACACATGGACACTTCAGGAGTGTTTCAGGGGGATAGTGCAGGTATGACAGGAATACTGAAAGTTTGTTCTTCGGGAGCTGGTGGTTCAGTGGCTCCTTTCCTGCATGTCATTCCTCTTGTCTATCTCTCTCTGTCTAAGGTGAAACAGGAGATCAATGAGAGCAGATACTTACGCTGACTTTAGCGTAGATGTGTCTGTAGTACAGCTCTTTATAGAGGATCAGGAACACAGCGTCTGCACACACACACACAAAATGTGATTCCAAAATCTATCTCAATTTGTAATGATGGCGTCTGAGTAAAGATAGGAGATGAAACACTCACCGTTTCCCACGAGTGATGCGATGGCTTCGGCTTCGGGCCACGGGACGTCTTAAAAAACATCTGTCAGTTTATTCCAGCTGAAGGAGACTGGAGGAAGAGGAGCAGAGTGTAACACAAGGGTTAATGTGAGGAAGAGGAGCAGAGTGTAAACACAAGGGTTAATGTGAGG